TGCGTGTGCGCGCTTGTTTACGTGTATACGTGTTTCATAATCTATTGACGTTATGTTTGTATTTATTTGCGTCTGGTCGGCCAACTGGCTTAGATGGCGCATCAACAGAAACTTGGTTGTTAGCAAAGTATTTTGATCGCGAGTTGAGACGCCTGTTCATCTTCGAGACGCAAGGCAGCCCATGGACACAACCTCCGCGCGTTTCATGAAAATTTGGGAGTCGACTTTTACATCGGCGCGGTGTCTCTCTGCATTAGGGTCTCGGTTCAATACCTGACCGTGTACGTCATCGTCGGCGCTCGCTGATGATGATGATGGAGGAGATTGACATTTGTGGATATTTGTGCTTGTGTGTGTGTGCCTATGCGCGTGTGCTGGCATGTTGGCACATGCCAACACTCTCAGTCAGCCCATGGCACCTCGGGTCTGTGTTCAGTGACCTCCTGCCAGCGCACCTTCCTCCCTTGACGTGACCTCAAAGTGCACCTAAGCCTGGCACAAGTGGTGATGTCACTGCCACTCAGTGGCGAACGGCAGCTGATGTCGTGTGCTTGCGTCGACTCGGCCTTAATTGAGTATCTGGTGCGGTGCACAAACATCGGTCCTGGGGAGACAAAGTTGGCCTGGCGCGGTGGTGGCCACCACCGGCCGTGCCGAACTTAACAATCGTACAGCGCCCCTTGCATCCATCCCACTGCTGAACGAGGGCCTCCACACACCGTGCATACTTCACCGCTCTGGTAAGTGGGTGGGTGGGTGGCGGCTGCTTACGAGCAAGAGGTACGCACAACAATGGATGTCGCTGCACTGGTGATACGGTCACAGGCACCACCCGCCTTGACAGGTGCTTGGCGAACAGCACTTGCCCCTAGAGTAGGTGGGTGGGTGGAGGGGGGCAAGTCTACGGGTCTCCGAGTATTGCTGCTCATGGCTCCGAGTTTTGCCAGCGTGTGCACACGTGACTATGGATCCGACCTCTCCATCTCCACATTCCTCGCACCACCCACCCCTCCTCCTCCTCCTCACCCCCCCTGAAGTTTGGGGAGAGGGGGGGGGGTAGAGAATGCCGATACGGAGTTAACAATTCACAAACGAGCCAGGCGAGGCCGGCACGTTCATCCATTTAACTCTCCCGCAAGGGGCCAAATAAACTCGGCTATCGTGCGGCATTGTTGACCAAGCACATCATCCTTCCTAGTGGGGCGGCGGGGAGGTGGGGGGGGATAAAATAAGTAAAGGCGCAGCCCTGCAATGGCTCGCTTGTCCCAACGCTGGCGGAAGGGATTCCTCACCACCACCACCACCACCACACCCCTTCCTCCCTGCTGCCGTCTCTCCTCGCTGAAACCGCTCTTTAAGAAAAAAAAAGACGCCAAAAGAAAAACCCCACTCGTGTTCCTCCCCACGGGAGGAGAGCGAGCTCCAACCCACAGGGTTCCCACACCCGCCGCCGCAGCGGCTCAGCTCAGTGCGGAACCACCGCCCTTCGTCGTAATGAACGGCACACGGTGTTTACACACTACACGGGTAAACAAACAAACGCGCTCGCGCGCACGCACGCACACACACACACAGCTGCGGCCACATGCGCGGTGCGCACAACCACTTGCGTGCAACCACGCGGGAACGCAACCACTCGGGAACGCAACCACGTACGCACGCAACCACCGTGCGCACGCAACCACCACCGTGCAAATGCGGGAGCCGAGAGGCGTGAACACACAAACGAACGTGCGCGTGAAATTGCGCACACCGGCACACACAAAAACAAAGGTCCCCCATCCCCATACTTGTAAATCCATAACAGACTGTCGGGGCAAGTGCCGTTCGCGAGCGCCTACGGCACAACAGACGGGGTTGGGTGGACCGCCAGCATGCCCGGCCGCCTTTGTCTCCCGAGCGATATTCACAGTCCACCGCGGGGTACTCATTTAAGGCCGAATTCTTTTCCGCGAGCGGTTCGTAGCGCGGCTCCCCACTTACACACGGATAGACGCACACACACACGTACGGGCATGCACACACAAACGCGCACACGCGCGCACAATGCACCCATAGATATAAAACGCAGGTGTGCAAACATGAACAACGCGGATACGCACTCACAAACACATGTAAAGACACAACCAGCTATGCGTGTCTATACAAAGGTCCCCCGTATAGCCTTAGCAGGCTTTTTGGGGCAAGTGCTGTTAGCGAGCAGCACCTATGAAGGCCGGCACGGCACTACGAGGGGGTGGGTAGCCAGCACCACCCCCTGCCGCCTTTGTCTCCCTAGTGACGATGTTTACCACACCGTACCAGGCACTTATTTGAGGCCGAGTCAACCTAAGGGGAGGCCCCAGGACTGGTTCAAATAATCTGGCTTTGGTGGCCGTGAGCCGGGAATCGAACTCGGGTCGCCAGGTTCGTAGTGCACCGTGGAAATAATTGCGCTATCACTAAGTCGACCACGTGCACACAAACAGGAGCATGCGCGCGCACACACGCACACTGCCATGAACACACAAAAACATAATAATACACACGCAACACACAGGCACACAAACAGGAGCACACACGCACACTGCCATGAACACACAAAAACATAATAATACACACGCAACACACAGGCACACAAACAGGAGCACACACGCACACTGCCATGAACACACAAAAACATAATAATACACACGCAACACACAGGCACACAAACAGGAGCACACACGTACACTGCCATGAACACACAAAAACATAATAATACACACGCAACACACACACACTGCCTTGAACACACAAAAACATAATAATACACACGCAACACACACTAACACAAACAGGAGCACACGCACACTGCCATGAACACACAAAAACATAATAATACACACGCAACACACACTAACACAAACAGGAGCACACGCACACTGCCATGAACACACAAAAACATAATAATACACACGCAACACACACTAACACAAACAGGAGCACACGCACACTGCCATGAACACACAAAAACAAAATAATACACACGCAACACACACGCACACAAACAGGAGCACGCGCACACACACACACTGCCATGAACACACAAAAACATAATAATACACACGCACACACACTAAAACAAACAGGAGCACGCGCACACACACACACTGCGATGAACACACAAAAACATAATAATACACACGCAACACACACGCACACAAACAGGAGCACACACACACTGCCTTGAACACACAAAAACATAATAATACACACGCAACACACACTAACACAAACAGGAGCACGCGCACACACGCACACTGCCATGAACACACAAAAACAAAATAATACACACGCAACACACACGCACACAAACAGGAGCACGCACACACACGCACACTGCCATGAACACACAAAAACATAATAATACACACGCAACACACACGCACACAAACAGGAGCACACACGCACACACACACACCGCCATGAACACACAAAAACATAATAATACACACCCAACACACACGCACACAAACAGGAGCACGCGCGCGCTAACACACACACCGCCATGAACACACAAAAACATAATAATACACACGCAACACACACGCACACAAACAGGAGCACGCACACACACACACACACCGCCATGAACACACAAAAACATAATACACACGCAACACACACGCACACAAACAGGAGCACGCGCACACACACACACTGCGATGAACACACAAAAACATAATAATACACACGCAACACACACACGCATTCACACATCCTCGGAACATCCTCAGGGATTTATATAGGGCAGGTCAGGTGAGGGCGTTACGGGGCTGGGGCTTTTGTTCGCCGGCAGGAACAATGAAATGTCACAGAGCGATCACTTGAGACTCAGCCAGGGGTCACCGGGGGGGGCGGGAGGGGTCCACGCCAACGGCCGTCAGAACTCCCGTTCCTCTCAGCGCGAGAAGCTCCGGTGATCGCGCTACGATAGCGTGTCCAGGGGGGTCACGCGAGGTGGGGGGCATACGAGGTGGGGGAGGGGGGGGGGCAAGCGAGATGGCGGGGCACGCAAGTTGGGGGGGTGGGTGACTCGTGGGGAAGCGAGACGGAGAATCTCTCGCCGAGCGAGAAGGCAGAGCCACGCGGGAATGCGTCGTCTTGGTGAGCAGTGGCAGCAGTTGTTGCTGTTGTTGTTGTTACGCGGCTGACGAACGCCAGGACTTTCGTGCGTGTATGCATGCAGAACCTCTTTCGAAGCCTACACAGCCAACCGTGCGCTAATGGGAGGTGCGAACGTCTCCGTGTCGATCGAGACGTTCGTTCCCCGGCACGGCCGCTACCGCCTCCTCTGTCACCACGGAGACGACCCCCGGCGAGCCAGGACACGTGGCGACCCCGGGCGTACGCTACGATCCGGCGCTCTGGAGGCGAGGGTCGGTGGACCACGCGGAGATTCGCGAAGCTCCCAAACGACGCCGGGCTGCGAGTGTGGCCAGGAGGTGGCAGTGAAGCGAACCGATTATTGAATCCATCTGTGCGTAGCATTGAGCGTTTGCCAGGGCTCAATCAAAGAGTGGGGCTTGGTTTCAGGCACGTGCCACCTCCTCTAGTCACGCCCGGCACACCACGTCCAGTATATTTTCCACTATAGCTGTGGCTACCACTCCCAGTGTCGACTCCAGTCTACCAGCGACCCGGAAAGTAGTATCCCTTCATACACGGTGTGCACACACACATACACGGTGTGCACACACACATACACGGTGTGCACACACACACACACACGGTGTGTACACACACACAGGATGTACACACACACACGGCGTGCACACACACACACACGGTGTGCACACACAAACAGGATATGCACACACAGTGTGCACACACACTGTGCACACACACACTGTGCACACAGTGTGCACACACACACACGATATGTACACACACACAAGATATGTACACACACACACAAGATATGTACACACACACACACAATGTAAACACACACGCAGCGCGCACAGCGGGCTACTCACTCGGATCGGGAGTGGAGTCAGAATTCTCTGGGAAGCTCTCACCGAGATCAGGGCAGGAGACGCTGCGGCGTGTCCGGCCGTCCGTGTACACCTGTGCCACAGGCAGACGGACAGGTAAGCAGACAGTCAGACAATACAGACAAACAGAAATACAAGCAATCGGGTCGAGGCAAACAGACGGTAAAGAGGGGGCGCGAGGGTTACGTGCGTTTGGTCATCAACCCACTTCGCTCGCTCGCCCAACGCCCGCCTGCCCACCCACTCGACCGCTCGCTCACTTCCTTACTCACCTCTCCTACTTGCCCAACCATCCACTCACTCACACGGTCACACCCACGCGTTCACATGTTTCGCCTGCCAGCTCACCTTGTCACATGTCAGCCCACCAACTCTACTCTCACCCGCCCGCTGCTCACCCACCCATTCATCTAACCGCTGACATCTTCCCTTACCCCCCACCCCACGAGTCGCTACCATCCAGCACACTCCCCCCCCCTCCTCTCCACTCGCGCAGCCCTGCCGTGGAGCGGATGGTCGTCGCCTCTGCCGCTGCCGTCACCGCCGCGCGTGGGCAGTGCTGCCCACGCGCGGCGAGAGCACGCGCTGCCGTCACCGCTCGCCAACAGCTCGGGGCCTGCAGCCCCACTCGGCGTTGTCACTCATCGCTCCCCTTGTCGGCAGTTGAAGCAATGGGACAAGTTTCTTAAATGCCCCCCCCCCCTCCGCCTCCCCACTGCTTCTGTCCAGCCAGCAGCATACATCGGTTAACCACCACCACCACCACCACAGTGAGTCCGTCAGCAGGCCGCGTGCGGTGGGGTAAAGCGAGGGTACTCGCAGCAATTCCAAGACGTCTGGCCAGCGTGGAAGATTAGGCCAAATACCCTCTAGAGGGGCTCTCTGGCGCTCTCTGGAGATCCCTCTATTTGCAGATGAATTTAATCTGTTTCAATTAATAAATGTCCCCACAAGACCCAACCTAAAAAATCCGGGACAGTCAACTCTGCTTAACGTCCTATTGACAAATGCCCCTCACAATTTCACACTGACTGGTGTTCTGGGTAATAACCTTAGTGATCACTCCTTCATTTTTTGGGTGAGATCATCAGCCAGACCCAAAGCCCCCCCTAAATTGGTTGAGAAGCACTCTATGAGACACTTCAGCACTCAGGCATTTACTAATGATGTGCTTCACTCGGATATTGACAAGGTCTGTGATATCCCCAACCTGACTACGGTTTGGGAGACCTTCAGGTACACGTTTCTCCAAATTCTTAACAAACATGCTCCGTTGGTTAGATTTAAAATTAAAGGAAACTGCCCACCATGGTTTGATGCTTTGATTACAAAGCTCATGAAAACTAGGGACAAGGCTTAGGCATGTGCTCAGAAAAGTAATTTGGTCAATGACTGGCTAGAATACAAGATTTTAAGGAATAAATGCGTAAAAAAAATACGGCATGCAAAAAATGCCTACTTTTCCTCCACTCTCCTGGAATCACATGGAAATGCCAGGATTTTCTGGAAAACAATCAAATGTATCGAAAAGGCATCCGAAATAGACAATCTGCCCATTGAGCTTAACCGAAATGGGGAATATTTTTCAGATCCCAAAAAAATAGTTGACAATTTTAACCTTCATTTTTCTGAAGCTGGTAATCTTTTTGATAATGTATTGGGAGTCACCCCTGCTCATGCAAATTCATACACCCCTTTCCAAACATTAAACGAATTTAGTTTCCAGCCAATCCACGAAAGTGATGTTCTGAAACACCTGTCCTACCTCAAAGGGTCCTCCTCTACCGGAGCAGGTAGTATTCCCGTCTTTGCTCTACTAACTGTTGGTCACCTAATATACAAACCTATAGCCCATATTTTCAACCTGTCCATCAAAGAAGCATCAGTTCCTCTAGAATGGAAACATTCCTATGTCCGTCCACTTCACAAAGGGGGCCCTAAAGATGATCCAAATAACTACCAACCTATCTCAATTTTGTCCCCATTGATGAAAATTTTTGAAAAATTATTGACCTACCAAATTAGCAGTTTGCTGTCCACCAACAATCTTCTACATATTATTGGTTCTTTCGGTAAAGTCACGTAGAAGGGAAACCGAAAGAACCAAGAATATGAATCCCTACAGTCACGAAAGCTTTAAATCAAAATCTACTACATCTAAAACAATCTGTGTTCCGAAAAAATACAGCACCACGTCTGCTGCATTAGACTCTCTGAATCACATTTACAGTAGCCTTGATAATAAGCAGTACTGTGCCTGTCTTTTTCTAGACCTGTCCAAAGCTTTTGATACAGTAGACCACAACACCCTGCTTAGTAAACTAAGTTGACTCGGTTTTTCCGAAAACGCAGTAAAATGGTTACAAAATTACCTCTTTTCTCGCACCCTAACTGTATTCACAGATGGTTGAAGGTCAAACGGTGTTAAGATAACAAAAGGGGTTCCACAGGGTTCCATCCTCGGCCCCCTTTTGTTATCTCTTTATGTCAATGGCTTGGGCACTGACCTGGATCATTCCAGGGTAAATCTTTTTGCAGATAACACGATACTGATTACTGCTGGCTGCTCTCCGGATGACGTGATTGCTAAGCTCCAGGGTGATTTCAACAAACTACAACATCAGCTAGTTGCTCTTAAACTAGTCCTGAATACCTCCAAAACCTTGGTGCTATGCTTCTCACCGGGACTAAAGCAGGAAGTTATTTTCCCTCAATTACATTCCTTAAATAATTATCAAATAGAGCAAGTCAAAATCTATAAGTATCTTGGGGTCATCCTGGATTCAAAACTTAATTTTGAAGATCACATTGATTATATTGGAAAAAAGACAAAAATAAAAATTGGTTTTCTGTATCGACACAGGCACTGCTTCCCCCCTATGTTCCGTTTGGAATTGGTAAAAGCTACCATACTGCCTCTACTTGACTACTGTGACATCGTGTATAAATCAGCCCCAAGTACTGTACTGAAGAAGCTTGATTCCATCTATCACTCAGCCTTAAGATTTACATTGAACTGCCCATATAGGACTCACCACTTTGATCTCTACATTGGGTCAAACTTAACATCTCTTAATGTTCGACGGCTTGTGCACCAGATCTTATTTATTCACGATGTACTTACAAAAAAATCCGCAGACTACCTGCTGGATCTCCTCTCTGTTTCAAAGAACAAATTTGACCTCGGGTCTTCGCTCATTTACCAGCTTCACATTCTCTATTGCCGTACAAAAACTGGAAGGGCCTTTGCTATTGATGCACCCAGAGTCTGGAATGCTATTGCCAATAAACTGCAACTTGAATCGCTACCTATGAGATCTTCTCTCAAAACTGCTCTAGAGGAGTTGTACACCCCTAGCTGCCACTGCTATTCATTGGCGTAAAGTAAAATAAAATGTTTCGCTCCGGATGACCGCTGCAAAGTATTATCTGTATTTTGATTTAGCGTGCTGATCTGAGAGGTGCATTGAAAAATGTGATACTCCGACTGATGCTCCTGTTGTTGTGGAGTAACTCATGCAGCAAGCTATGGCTCTCGGGTTTGGTGTTACATGTTATTTATGTAGTTTATTGTAAAAATTCGGTCACAGTCCCTGTGATCACTCTTTACTTTGCAATTATGGCTTTATTTTTTGGTGATTCGAAAAGTGTTTTGGTTTAGACATGTTTGTTTTGTTGTAGTACGGAGTTAGACTGATGGCCTTAATCTAAGTTTTCTTGTGGTTGTTGTTTGACTTGCATCCCACTGGGATGTTTTTGCACACAGCGTTGGTGTACGGTGCTTTTTTCAGGAATATTTTTGCTGTTTTTTTTATTCATGTTAGCACAGTCACATAGTCACTTTAAGATGTTTTTCTTGTTCGTGTTTTTTTGTTTGTTGTGGTTGCACCCGATTCAAGAGCCGAATGGCTCACAGGGCTATACCTAAATAAATAAATAAACTGAAACTCTAGAGGAGCTCTCTGTGGAGCTCTGTGGAGCTCCCTCTAGAGGGGCTCTGTGTGGAGCTCTCTGGAGATCCCCCTAGAGGAGCTCTCTGTGGAGCTCTCTGGAGATCCCTCTAGAGGAGCTCTCTGTGGAGCTCTCTGTGGAGCTCTGTGGAGCTCCCTCTAGAGGGGCTCTCTGTGGAGCTCTCTGGAGCTCCCTCTAGAGGAGCTCTCTGTGGAGCTCTCTGGAGATCCCTCTAGAGGGGCTCTCTGTGGAGCTCTCTGGAGATCCCTCTAGAGGGGCTCTCTGTGGAGCTCTCTGGAGCTCCCTCTAGAGGGGCTCTCTGTGGAGCTCTCTGAAGCTCTCTGGAGATCCCTCTAGAGGAGCTCTCTGTGGAGCTCTCTGGAGATCCCTCTAGAGGAGCTCTCTGTGGAGCTCTCTGGAGATCCCTCTAGAGGAGCTCTCTGTGGAGCTCTCTGGAGATCCCTCTAGAGGAGCTCTCTGTGGAGCTCTCTGGAGCTCCCTCTAGAGGAGCTCTCTGTGGAGCTCTCTGGAGCTCTCTGGAGATCCCTCTAGAGGGGCTCTCTGTGGAGCTCCCTCCAGTGGAGGCTCCTTCCGCTAGCGGTGGCCCAAGCAAGCAATTACACGGCCGCTCCTTTACCCTTCCGAGCTCAAAAAGTCAACATATCAATGAGCACCCTGTTAGACACGGATATCGAATTCATTAGCAGCCACACAATGGAGGGAATATAGAATAATGAGCTGGAGGGGGGATACATTGGAAATTCAACGCCTGCCTTGTGTGCGCAACACCTGTGTGAACGGCAAAATATTTACCCAGCGCCCGAGAAACTGTTATTAGATGATGTAAGAGCAGAAAGCGCAATGACCGAGAGGCATAAACACGAGCAGGCGCATCTTTGTGTTCACGCTTCCCTTTTACGTCCCTCGCACAAGCTGCACCCACGATGCGCTACGTATGTTGAACTTCTTTCGCACCGTACGTAGCCGACCGTGCTAATCGAAGGTGCGGCAACCACCTGGAGATTATGGCCGGATCTGCATTGGAGGCATGTCTCCGTCTCCTTTAGCGGACCGCCACGGGTTCAGCAGGGAAACATCGCCGAGCCTCAAGGTGTACTTTTC